ATTGTTTATCTGAGAATCACTATCTCCTATGTTCTGGGTTTTCCACTGGATATAAAGAAACTTTGGGTGTTCTGCATTTTATTTGGCAACCCTAAATATGAAAAAAAAAAAAAAAGGTAATTAAGGATGAAGAAAGAGAGGAAATAAGAAGATTAATATTCCATACCCAGATCCCAGCCAAAGGAAGATTACGTATTTTTTGCTTTGAGCATGAGAACCTGTGCAGATTCTCAGATTAGACATGAGTTTCCTATTGTGAGACCACACATAGGTAGGTAGCGAAAGGGGGAGAGTGTCGCATGCTTGCTTTTTGAAAAGAAAACCACGTTGGGCTCACTAAATGCTGATGGGTCTTGAGCGATCCTCAGGGAGCCAAGGCAGTTCATCTTACTTGAGAAGATTCCATTTCAAAAAGCAAAGCTTTGGGTTTGTTTTATGGGAAACTTATAAGCAAAATGGGTTCGCTGCATAGAACAGCTTTAGAGGTGAACCGGTTCTGTTGGTGATAGAAACAAATGGGAATTTAGTCTCATTGTATGACTGAGTTTAACAAGTTAATGGATGTTTGAGAAGCATCAGGTGCTCCACAAGTGGTGGGAACTCAGGTAAGTTCTAAAGTACATTTCTCGTATCATTTTGTTAAAAAGTCATTTTTAACAAAGACATAATTTCTCCTTAAATTTTAATCCTAAATTGCAACAACAACAACAAAAATGACAATGGATTAAGGCTGGTCATAATGTGCCCTTTTCTTTAGGATAACTTTGATTTTTTTTTAATAAGATATAATACACTTCCACACTCATACCACATACCAGCAAACACTTTTGACTCATACAAATATATATTTAGAACAAACACCTAAAAATAGTCCCACAAAAGAAATAAAAGTTACACAATTACCAACAGACTCAATCAACACATTTTACAAATTCTACAGAACACTTTATCATTGTCATTGGGGAAACAAACAATTTAGAGCATTATTTAAAACCGCATATAGCACAGGAGTCACCAATGAGTTATGGCAAATATAGCATTTACACCATTGTGTCACTAAAGTCTAGTTGAAAAGACTAAAATGCTGCAAAATAAAATACTTTTAAAAAACCTTGTTTAGCATATCCTGAGGGACACTGTGCATCATTTCCTATGAGCAGTTCAAAGGGTGAGCATTCTACCTATGGAGCTCTTACTGAGTGGCCAAAGGTTAGAAGATTGTGTCATTGGATCTGAAAAATTGTAGAACTAGAAAACTCACGAAAACATACATTTCCTGAGACTTTCAACTTTTCAGACTAAAATTCTATCAGGGGAGAACCTAAACAGGTCAGAACCTCAAAGTACTGAAAACAACTCTAAGTGAACATGAGGACTTGTTTGTAATTTATATTCAAATCCCTGTTCCATTCTCTACTTGAAATATAATTGACAGTGTAGTTAAACTATGACTGCTGGGCATTTCTTATTTATGATCTTCTCATTTTTCATTGGTTTCCTAGTGATTTTTTCCCTCTTGAATATTTAAATATTTGAATTATGTTTATGCCTACTCACATAGGAAATAATTGATTTTAAGAGTTAAAATGGCAACAAAATTAGGCTGAGTGATTACTGTTTCAATTTGAATAACGAGTGTGTGTGTGTGTGTGTGTGTGTGTGTGTGTGTGTGTGTGTTTGCATGTGTGAAGACACACAGCATATACATGCCAAACGTTTTATGCTCTTATACATTCACTGTTAGGTGGCACTTCATGAAAGTGACTTTTCCCAATATGGCTGAAAGTGAATATTGAGGTCATCATACAGAATATCCTAAGGCCTTGAAACAATGCCTCCTCATTCTCTGCATTCACATGATTGTGTAGTAATAAGGGAGACATAAATGATAATGGCAGGAGCATTCCATTTGAGTCCTTTAAAATTACAGACAGGAGAGCAAACCAAAAAATGACTCTCTTTGCATAAGTTCCCTCATCCATCCCACCTACTCCTTTGACTTCCTGCTGTAGATTAGATGAAAGTTGCATTTTGTTTCTCTATTTTTGCCTTGCAGAATATGTGACATAAAGTCTTAAGAAACAAGCAGAACAAAAAGTACACCAAGATGTATCTCCTACCATCTTGGGGTCTCTTTGTAGCCCTTTACTTCTAGCTTGTCTGGAAAGACATTGCCCAGCTAAGACAAAGAAGCAGAGGCTGAGGGTAAATTCTGATTGCATATTACTAGCCCTCACAGCGCCCCCCACCCCACCCCCACTGCCCAGCATGCTTCCTAAGTGCTCTGGGCAGGGCCAATAAACAGAAGACAGACAAAGGCACCTTCTCTTTTCTCCCCTTTCAAAGGAATCCCTTCTAGTGGACTCTACTCAGTGGGAAGACCCACAGTTCACTTCTACCTGTTCTCTCCCTTAGAAATTAAGGCAAGTCCCTTTTCTCTCAGTTCCTATGACAAAGCATTGTGTCCACGTGGAAGCAGTAACAGTGGCTTGAAGAGACCTTCTGTCAAGTATATCATTAGTAGCAATAGAAAACTTTCTCCAGTTAAGAAATTGCACAATCAGTCTAATCCTTCAGCAGGGTTTTTTTGTTTTGTTTTTGTTTTTGTTTTTCCCCCAGCACCGAAATGACAAATACAGTAAAGCAATACTCTAAGCAAACTATACGAAAGCATCTGAGTTCAAGAAAATACAACATAGTTACCTCTATTTCATTAATTTTCATGAAAATGTTGAAATATTTGTTTCCTGCCATATTGATAAGTTAAATCCTATGTCATTTCAAGTGTGCTTGGCTAAAGATCCTCCTGAGGGATGAACAATGGAGAGTCAGCAAGAAAACTTGCCCAAAAAGCAACTTTACAGGACATAAATTTCCATAATCCATAACCCTTTAAAAAGGATTCATATTCAATTGCACGTAAGGAACAGGTGAAAGACACAGGAAGACAATACAACTGCAAAGCAGAAAGAAAACTATATTTGTAAATGATTAAGTCCCAAGCTGAATTATGTTTAAAAAAATATTTGAATATGATCAGCTACTCTACTTTCAAAGGTCTTATCATTTTTTTATACATTGTTAAGGGTTTCACAGTCTTAAAATTAAATTATTTTATATTATCAATATTTTCACTTGAAAAAAATAATTTGTGTCTGTCCATGCTTGTGTTTGTGTGTATTTTAATCTCTCTGCATAGGAGTGGGTATGTATTGATATATTGTGTAGGGCAAAACATACACAAGTAGAATGTAGATCAGATCTGCTGAGTGAATTTGCATGGTACTTGGTCTATCGCATCTACTTATATACTTTTCATAATTCTCTTCAGTACAAACAATTTATCTTTCCTGCAATTGGCAATAAATACTATTTTCTGATAATGAATATTTATAACCATGTAAACAACTTTTAATTATTTATAATCTGGACACACATAATCCTAGCATCAACTCCCTTACCTAGGTCTCAGATATTTAATCACATGCCTTACATTTAGATTAATTAGAAGTTGAGAGCACACTTCTATTTATGTGGGCTGTGTTTTCCCAGGAAATTATTGATGCATGATTATTTCTAAACATTAAGATAATTCATAATAGTTTTAGCAAATTTTATAATTTTTTATAAATGCCTCACTATATTCCTCTGAGGCATATAGATAAAGATTATTGTGCTCTTTTAAGACTATTTTAGCATTGTCAAATATCATAAAGACAACAAGGAGGAAGCAATACTCATAGTTGCATCATCTTTTCACTGTAGACAGGGACAGTCAAATGTTGGACACAGAAACTTTCACTCTGTTTCATTCTCAACTCTAGTGGAGGATGGAACCCAGAGGGGTAATCTAGGTCAGTTTTCAGTAGAATCTGCTAAAGATGGTTCATGGATTCTTGTAACTTCACGGACAGAGTTTCAAAAGCATTGCTTTGACTCCTTCGCCACCCTGCCTCCCTTTTCAACTTTAACTAAAAAAATAAAAACTCCAAGTAAAGCTTCTTGAAATATGTCTCTCAAAATCTGGGATTTAAAATTACATGTTTAGAAATCCTAATTTGATAGGAAAGCTTGCACAATCTTTCATTTCTTTCTTCTTCCTCCTCCGCCCCAACCCCTTTTCAATCAAGTGAATTGTTAGGAGAGCTTTTGTAAGAGTTCTTTGCAGAGTTCTCTGATTTTAACATACTCTTCAGTCATAGTTTTTCATTTACTGGGCATTTGTAGGGCAATGTTATTAGGAGATTCTTGAATTAAATTAGCAACCATCTCTTCCCAGTCCCCCCATTTAAAGTTGGCACAAGTTATTCTTCCAAAGAATTGTTTGTTCTATATTTATAGCTGCCTTAAATAGAAATACAGTGAAACACTATTGTTTTTGTAGTACCCAAAAAATCACTGATGATGGCCTTCAATATTACTGATGCAGGGAAACTGTTTTAATGCATATTTTCTATGACAAAGAGTTAGCAATGATTGCCCAATTGCAGATGACAACAGAATATTATAACATGTTCCACACAACAAATAAATTTCACTACAACAATGTAATACACATTCTGTTGGGAACAGTCAATTGTTTTGAGTCCCATATAGCATCTGATTAAGAAGAGCGAGCAAAGGGGGCAGGGTGAGAAGGTTCAGTTAGAGGATACAGAGAGCATAGCAGATCTAGGTTGAAATCAGAAACACAATCAAGTAAACACTTGTGAGTTATATATCACAAAGACTAATTCTGAAAAACAAATTTCACTGGTCTTTTTTAAAATCTCTAACACTAGAAGTAGATTTTGCTCACCAAATGGGAAATGAAATATTTATACTAATGCAGAGACTATGATAATAACCACTCAAGAATTGGATTTCCCCTTTTCCCACCCACTGCCAGCCCTAGTTCCCTCAGAGACTCAGTGGAATAGGAAGATCAGAGTGTTTCTAGATAATATGCCTAATACAATGAGTCTTCTCTATCTTATTCATGAATGCTCAAAATGGTACTATCAAGTGTTGGCTTCTCCTTCATCAAAGACATAGTTGAGCTTTATGACAGTGCTGATGAAATCACCAAGTTCTACAAAATCGGCAGTGACAATATTGATGCCGCTCTCTCCTGGTTTCTGCGTGCTGACCCACTGCATCATGGCGGGAAGAGCCCTGAGAAAGGAAAGAAAAAGAGAAGTTGTGGGTTCTTGAAGTTAAAGCATGGCATGAAATACTTGTGTATTTCCCTGGGTCTCAGAGAGTATATCTAATCTATAAACTCAATCCACTTAGGCAAAACTGGGTCAATAGCCTTCAACTACATTAATCTTATGAGTAAAATACCATAAAAATACTGATCCCTATTTTCTAGTATACATTTTTTTTTTCTGTTAGACACATAGAGAAGGATCCAGCTCCTTCTAAAGGAGCATATAATGGATCTAAAGCGTCAATACCTTCAGAAAATAGACTGGCAGGTGGAGAAATTTGGTCCCTCATGGCAATAGTTTTAGAAGAGAATTCTATTAAAATGAAAAATCTGGATCCTTAGAGCAGAGACACAAGCATATTCAAGTCATTAGGAAGACAGATGTTGTGAAAATGTGTGTGCAGCCACTAGGGTTTGAAGTCCATTACTTTCTGGATTTGCTAGAGCAGATGACATATTCATGTTACAAATGTAGCATGAAGTTGGCGTTTTGAGAAGGCAGATAGTTTTGGAAAGAACCAGTGTATTTCCTGGGAAGGATGGTTGTTCAATAAATATGCTCGGGTTGAAAGGTGAGAGGAAGGGGTGGGTAGAAGTGATGCTGAGGCCAATGCTGATTCTGTATTAACCTTAACTTAGCTCTGGGGTACCAGGCCATGAGAGGTTCCTGAGCAGCCAACCTCCCACCTTAGAACTATGATCATCACAGAAACACTTCCTCAGATGCCTCTGCTTCTCATAGATTAAGGGTTCCTGGGCCTGGATTGAAAACAATTGTTACCCCCATCGAGAGGCATTAAGAGAACATAAGAGTGCTTGTCTGTTTCTGAATAAAATAGATTGCTTTGAGGATTGATGAAACATCCTTTTGGAATAGCTTGTAGTCCTCACATGAAATACAAGTTTTACATTTAAAATACCACTTCTCTTCACCACCTTATTGCCCGTGACCATGGGCTATGTATATAAGTATATAAGTTATTTGGTTTATCTCTTCTCATTCCCTCAAACCCATATTGAGGATGTCAGTCTGTTCCATGCCTCCCTGCTTCAGATCTTATTTTGGAGGAGAGTAAAACAGGGAGTGGGTGAGAGTCATCTATAATATCAACAATAAAAAATCTCCTACCCAGAATGCTTCAATAACCTCTCAGTGTTTTTAGGATGAAAATAAAAATCCTTAATTAACCTATAAGGCTCTGAACATTGGCTATTGATTTCAGAAAGGAAAGGCAAGGGAGAGGAAAAGGGAAAGGGAGATAGAAACATCCATGATGAGAATCACTGACCAGCTGCCTCCTGCATGCCCCACATAGGAGATCAAGCCTACAACCTGGGCATGTGCCCTGGTTCATAGGTTGATATTCAACTACTGAGCCACACCAGCCAGGTGTAAATTTTTTATTTGCCCTCACAAGTTTTGCCCTCTTGGGGGCAACATTAACATCGAGAATGCATGATTTATAGCAAACTGACAAGTTGAAATTATACTTAGTTGTGATGTTTTTCTATCCAGCTTTCACAATTCCAATCAAAGTCAGAAAGGGGGCTGGGGAATAAACTTGGTTCACAAAGCTTCAAAGCCCTCCTCTGGAATGTGCAACTCTCCTGAGGAAAGGCATCTTCAAATAGGTTCCAGGTCTTTAGAAGAGAAACAAGTAAGTCTACAGCAGTAAGAAAATCTCCCTCCAAGAAAGCAACAGGAGGTGGGAGATGTGGGAGCCAAAAATCTTCTAATGTTCTGACTTTGAGAACTGACTTTGAAAAGGTTTAGGAGTTGGAAGTGCTGAGATCAATAGACCTCAATGTGCTGACCATGACTGATTAATTCATGTCAGGGTCATGAGATTAATTCAATCTCCTACCCAGAATACTTCAATCACCTCTCAGTGCTTTTAGAATGAAAACAAAAAGTGTTAACCTGTGGGGCCCCGAACAATGGCTACCAGGTGCTTCTTCTGTTGTCATGTCATCTCCAGTCACTCTTTCCATCACCAAGTTCTAGTCACATCCCAGTCTTTGTCATCTTGAACAGCTTAATTTTCCTCAGGGAACTTTGTAAATGCTGCTATTTGCTTGTTTTGCTTTTTGTTTATTTATAAAGAGTGGTTTTCTTCCCTGCTACTTCACTGGAACTCATCTTTCAGGTGATATTTTAAATGTCACTTCTTCAAAACACTAGTCAGAATTGTAATTATATTGATGTGTTTGACAGATATCTGTTCCTCAACTAGATTGCAATTTCTTTAGCACCAGGCTGTGTACTTTCTCCCTGGTGTATTCCCAGTCCTTAGCATAATGCCTGGCAGACTACACACTCAATAAAAACATGTTGAATACATGAATAGAATTTACTTTTAGAAACAAAAGCTTTATTTTTAGATAAGAATATATGCAATAATATAATTCATGAAAAGGCTACTGTTTCCTTTACTTCGGTACTGCCATAAATTTCCGTTTGTGAATTCACTGCTATTTGTTTGAAGAAAAAGATGTTTTTCTTAAACTAACTTGAAGAGCTTTAACTTTTCTATATTTGGCAGGTCTCACTGGCAAATTTTTGAATTCACCAAACAATTTGCAAAGCAACTTGCCCCACATTATACATTTAGTGCTATGAGATTATGTGTTAATGATAATGATAGCATTTTATCATCTTCATAAAAATGAAGTTTATTAGAATTAAACTTAATTAATCAGATTTATTCAATTTAGTTATTAATGTATTATTAATTTTAATTATTAAATAGGCTACCTAATAAAAGAGTAATATGCAAATTAACCATCATTCTGCTACACCCACAGCCATGCCCACAAACCACACCCACCAGCCAATCAGAGCAAATATGCAAATCAATCCCAATCAAGATGGCTGTCATTACAGAGAGCAGGAGGGAGGCTTGGGTTTCCCCAGCAATGGAGGAAGCCAAGCTTTCCACACACCTTGGTGGGCCTCCACTCAAGGCTACAAAGTTTCAATTATGGAAGATAAATCCCAAGAAAAATGGCGGCAGCCATGGAGCTGGAGAGAGCAGGCTAGGGTTGCCCCCAGCGATGGAGGAAGCCAAGCTTTCCACCTGCCCTGGCCAGCGTAGGCCTCCACTCCAGGCTACAAAGTTTCAATTATAGAAGGTGAATAAACTCCAAGAGAAATGGCTGCCACTACGGAGCAAGCAGAAGACTTGGCTTAGCTCCAGGCTACAAAATTTCAATTGTATTGTAGAAGATAAATATATCCCAGATACCAGGGCCTCCCCTTGGGTCACTGTGGCCAGTCTGCAAATCACCACAGGCTCCTTGCCTAGGCCACCCCACACCCCAAGGAAACCCTTACTCTGATCTGGGATCCTTCAGGGCAAACCAGCTACCCCCCACCCATGCACCAGGCCTCTATCCTATCTAATAAAAGAGTAATATGCAGATTGACTATCATTCCAACACAAAAGATCAAGATAGCTGCCCCCATGTGGTCAAAGATCCTGCCCCCATGTGGACACAAGATGGCCACCACAAGATGACCAGCAGAGGAGGGCAGTTGGGAGGCACCAGGCTTGTAAGGGAGGGCAGTTGGGGGCAATCAAGCCGGGGGAGGAGGGAAATTGGGGGCAAAAGGCTGGCAGGGGAGCAGTTAGACTTCAATCAGGCTGGCAGAGCAGTGGTTAATAGGTGATCAGGCTGGCAGGCAGAAGCGGTTAGGGACAATCAGGAAGGCAGGCAGGTGAGCAGTTGGGAGCCAGCAGTCCTGGATTGTGAGAGGGTACAGGGTGGGCTGAGGGACAATCTCCACCCCCACCCCCAATGCACGAATTTCATGCACCAGGCCTCTAGTCATTACATAATTTAATATTTACATGTATTAGACATTAATGAGGAATCCCTGTGAAATTCATATTTAGGTGTGCCTGTGTGTATACATAACACTTTTACAATGAACGTATTTTTTATGTGCTACTTTTCTAACTTCCTTATACCTGTGTTTTGTAGTAATGAACAAACAATTGTAGATAATAAAACATTTCTAGCAAATTTTATTTGAATGCATTCTTTATTTTTTTAAATACATTTTTAAAATTGATTTTTGAGAGAGAGGGGGGGGAAGAGAGAAGGATAGAGAGAAACATTGATGCAAGAGGGGAACATTGATCTGCTGCCTCCTACATGCCCCCTACTGGGGGTCGAGCTCAAAATCCAGGCATAGCCCTGACAGGGAATTGAACCAGAGACCTCTTGAATCATAGGCTGACACGCAACCATTGAGCCACACCTGCTGGGCTGAAAGCATTCTTTTTTTTTTTCTTTATTGAAATGGATTTGTTTTTTAGTGAATAAAATAGAATCTTCAAAATCAACTCATTAATTTTTACCGACCTCTTTGATGCACTGGAGATAAAGATGACTATGAAAGCAGCAGAGCCTTGTTGCTGCTTGTCCCGAATCTAGTCTCTCCTGAGAAATGGAGACTTCACTGATCAACAAAGTTTAAAATAATGACCACAGATCTTTCTTCCCCTGAACAACTGAGTCAATCAGGAGCAACTAATTGAAATTAAATATGACATATTTTAAAATGTGATCTGTCAATCTTGCCATTTCTGAAAGTTGGGAACTTTCACGAGAAAATGAAGAAAAAGACAAAACAAAAAGGAGGAACTCTTGCCCCAAAGATTGGCATTTCATGCACTGACCACCCAGCAATAAAAAGCAGCGCCTTTGCCCCTGTAGGTTTAGCCTTCGGGAGGGGCTTCACAATAACCCCAGGAGGACAGACAGGCACAGGTCTGGCATAAATCATAATTTCTGTAAACATCACCTATTAAGTTTTGCTAACACTGTTTCTGTTCAGAACGCAGCATATCTGATTCATGTCTGATGGGGAAAAAAAGCTCATTTTAAAAATATGTATTTTCCCCTCAAATTGCAATTAGACAAATAATTAGGTCATGAAATATCTACAAAACAATGG